CCCTAGGCAATTTAAAAAGCATTACTCCTTAAAATCTCTACTCTTTTTAAACAAAAACCAAAAAAAAAATATCTTACGTAATTTTTTTCTTAAGAAATTAACTCTTCTTTAATTCAGAGCATTCAGTGGAGGAAAAATTAAATCGGGAGAACAGAACACTAGCTGGATATATTCTAGAACCAGAAAGCATGAGATCAAGCCCCCACATCTACTACAATTCCCTAGACCCTGCCATCCTCCATGCTCGGCTGTGAACATCGGGGCCTTTGCCTTTACTGTTTCCCGGGAGCACTCTTTCCAGATATGTACATAATCATTCCCTTAGCTTCTTTTAAATCTGCTCCAATGCCACCTTATCCGAGAGAATTTCTCTGACTGTACTATTTAAAACTTCCCTCTCCCTAACTATCAATCTCCTTAACCTGCTTTGTTTTTCTTCTTTCTCACTCCATCACAATGACATCCATGAAAGCAAGGACCTAATCTGTTTTGTTTATTGCCTCATATCCAGAGCCTAGATCATATGTGACACATAGTAAGCATTTTACCTACATATGCTGAACAAAACAAAGGCCAGTTCTTGGTGCTTGTTTTAAGGGGGCTCGTGATGAATTATGATGTGCCCTTAGGAAGTCCATTAAGGTCTAGATAGCTTTCAGTTAGGGGTTAGATTTGCTTAGTGTGGATCCAGAAGAAAAAGAGCAAGACAGATTTTGGCTGAATGTAAAGAAGAACCTGATATTAATTATAGTTGTCTGAAAAGTACTTGGTATTTCTGTAGATGCTTATTCAGATTGTGTGACCACTTTGGGGATAATTATAGGGGACATTTAAGCACAGTGTACAAATTAGAGTTTATTCTAACATCAATTCTTAAAGGTGTACAATTTGGTATTAACTCAAAAGTTAATAATCAAGTTTATTTCTTTTGCAAGGTGCTGCCAGACAGATTGTATCTGTTAATATCTAAAGCAGGGGTTGGCAAAATCTATTTCCTAGGCCAAATTTGGCCCCTCACCTCTTTTTATAAATAAAACTTTGTTGGAACACAATCATGGCCATTTACATATATGTTTATGGCTTCTTTCACATTATAATGGCACAGTTGAATAGTCACAACCAATATTGTATAGAACACAAAAGCTAAAATATTTACTACTAGAAGCCTGCAGCATGAAGATTCGTGCTAGAATGGGCTTTCCTTTCCCTGGCTGCCAGCATTTGCCTTTCTGCTCCGGCCCAGTCCCTTTCCGCTTAGGTCTCGGAGCTGCCTTTTTCCGTTCCAGGAGCCACTTCTTTCTACTCTAGCCCCACCTTCCCACACTGCCTACAGGCCCTAAGAGACCGGGGGTCAGGCAGAATGCCTGCATCATAGCCATGGTGATGACGCAAGCATCCTGCTTGCTCCCATTACTTGGAGCCTGTGTATGCAAATTAACCACCATATTTTTTGGGTTGATTTGCATACCACTCCCGATTGGCTGGTTGTGTAGCAGAGGTACGATCAATTTACATGTTTTCTATTATTAGGTAAGATGTTGCCCTTTTCAGAGAAAGTTTGCCAACCTCCATACCCTTAACCAATTAACTATGGAAATATATCTGTATTCAGCCTACCAGTTTCCTCCTCTTCCTCTTTCATCATTATTGGTTGTTGTATGTATCAATAAAGATACAACCATAATAAGATAGATCACTCAGAATATTTAAATAGAGGGAATTTAATGCACATAATTGGTTTCTTCCAATTGAAGAAGCTTGTAAGTTCATAGATCAGGGTCAGCAGGAAGTTGTCACCACTCCTACCAAAGAGACTCAGGAAGGAGGTAATTTTATCCAAGTCCAGAGGCTGGAAGTGTGGAAGTATGGGGTGGAGGTGTGAGGCTTTTGTTTCCTGAAGTTAGAGCCGCAGAAAGATTCTGCATCTGCCTTCGATGCTTCCTGAGGTAGAGAGGGCTTCTCCCACGCGTCCTTTCATTGCCTGCATCTAACCAGAAGTCAGCTGGTGCGGGAGCCTGGAACATTGGGCTTGCAGAGGTTGTTCTCCTGAACTATAGAGCAGAGCAGGGAAGATGAGGGATGGGATATGGATGCCTGACCCAGCACCAGCACTGCTGCCAATAGTTATTCAGAACTACCATGTGCCAAGTTCAGAGCTAAATGTTTTACATCAACCTTCAACTGGGAGGTAAATACTAGTTTATAGATGAGGATTGGAAAATGAAGTACATTGCTCAAGGCCATGAATTAAACAAATAGCAAAGTTAGAATTGAAACCAGGATAGTCTCACTCCAAAATTCTTATTTTATAAGAATTGGCCCTCTTATTCTACAAATGAGGGGGGAAAAGTAGTTTGGAAAAGATAAGAAACTTACCGCTGGAAAAGACAAGACTAGGTCCATAGCCCAAGTTACTCCTATTAGGTCTCTGTGTATCTTAACAGCTAAGGTCGCACACTGTTGTTGTAGCATTTAGACAGTGTCCAGAGGAGGTGCCACTCAGGTGAAGGAGGTGTTCTTGCATCCTGAAGCTATTACTAAGCAAACCTGTCTATACCCAGGACTCGGTTATAAAATGGGATTATTAATTACAGCTACCTCATAAGAGTGTAGACAAAGATTCAATGGATAATACATCTCGAGATGTTTACTAAATGCGAAGTCGCTATTGTCATTGTTAATATTTTTATTATGCTGACCCTTGGAGTGGTTATTCTAGGAAAAGAATGGATCAGAAATTTTATAAAATATTATCCAAGTGCTTCATGAAACAGCCATATCCTCCTATTGGACCTTTTCTCTTCTAGTTAGGAGTGACATTACAAGATAAGGAGGAATAGGATTTTTGTTCTTAAGTGAATGGCCCTCACGAAACTTAGTTTATTAATGTGAGGCTTTTTTTATGTACTGGTGTTTTTCTATGAAGTGTTGCTCTTGTGCTTCCATACAGTTTGTTTCATCTAGGATGGCCTTTTCCCAACTAATTCCCAACATATGACCTTTCCTTTCCTGTCCCCATGGCTTTATTCTTAATAAACTTCTCTCTCCTCCAAAAGTCCTTTTGCTTAACCAGCTCAATTCCTACAATATCTTACCATGTTACAGAGATTTAAGTTTTCATAATACTTTCAATATGATGATAATGCACTCAAGGTTTGCTTCCAGAGGAAAAGTTTCCCTATGATTAGTCTCATGACACATTGATTGTTTGCCTTCATACAGCACCTATAGGCAACCTGCATCATGCCGTCCTGTAAGTACTGCCTGCAACAGTGCTGGGATTTGTCTCTTTATATCTTGTTTCTCCAACTAGGTTGAAAGCGTGAGAACTTTTAGGTAGTTGGTGCTTTACAAATACTTACGTTTTATGTGAAAACTTGTACCTATAGTTAAAATTATTTGTATTTTTAAAAATTGGTAATATTTGCTTAAAAGCTAGTCTTGCTGCATGGCAAGGCCCCCAACAACTCCCAGTCCGTGTGTGAGGCTCCCTGAGAATGGCTAGGAAAGGAAAGCAGTATCACACTATGAAACAAGATACTAGAAGCTTATTTTTCCAGTGTGATGCACAGTGTAGCCTACGGTTCATCCTTAGTTTGTTTTTTTTTTTTTAAGACAGGTAAAAATGGTAATTTGGCAGGCAGAAACATTAAGCTTGGCATTGCACTGTGTATTTTAATGTGCAGAAAAATATTTTAAAATGCTGGGCCCATAACATAATATAGACCTGCTCTCAGTATGTCCAGAATCTGAGGCTTTGGACTTAATATGCTAGTAATTTGAACCACAATATATATATATATATATATATGAAGTAATGGTGACCATGCAGATATTTGTACATTGTGGTCTATTATTTTTGCACATGCTTCAAGGGACTGCCATCAGAAAACTGTATAAAGTATAGTAAATGTAGAGATCACAGGGAAGGTGGTGAAAGGCCTGAAAATGATATCTGAGAGTGTCTGTAACATCCTCATTATTTATTCACAATTAATAATTTTATCTAATGACTTGTTCCATTCTTCCATATTTAAAGCGAGTGTTTTTCGATCAGGATTTCAAAAGCAGTAGTTTCATGTTTTAGGTGCAACAGCTGCAGAACTCTAAAAGGTACATCAAATTAGATCATATTGTTCAAACACTGTGAGATGTTATATTTCTAATTCTTTATGAACTTAAGTATTGAATTTAGAATGGCCCTGTGGTATTCGGCATCTGGACCTAACTAGATTGGCAAGATTTTCCTCTGTAAAAAATCCAGGTAGAAGCAGCATTCAAATTTTGAAAACAAATACTTCTCTTTTCACCTTCCCACATCCTTCTCTGTCTCCCATTCAACACATGTACATGTTTTGAACCAAATTAGTATTTTATTTTCTGTGATGTTAAAGTTGAAATGTAAATCCTAATAAATCCACATTCCTTGAATTGGAAGGTGTTTAAACTTGAGACCTAGCATTTTGCCCAGTTCATCCCATGTCTTAAAATATGGTTTTTGTCAGAGCTAGACAGTAAACAGCTATAATAGTCGGGATCCAAACCACAATTAATAGTGCTGAATGTCATGTTACAAACCTGCCTCTTGATTCCTTAAAATAAAGAGCTGGGAGTAGCTGTGGCAACTGGAACTCAAACAACTGCTACCAAAAAAGATTCTGTGTTTTGGTTTCTTCTCCTGATTTTTATTTGTGCTTATAAGGAGATACCTGATGGATCAATTGCAAAGTGGACTATGACATGCATCTGAGAGTAAAGTTATATGGAAAATGTCTAACACTTCACTTTGTTTAAATGACTTTAGTTATTTCTTCTGTGGCTAAGATTACAAGTCAGACACTTCAGTCTGAATACTGGTTGTAAAAGAGTAGAGCATATTCCAGAGAGTAAGGAGTGAGCTAATGTGTCGGAGTTCAAGCAATTTTAATTTTAGGGACACTGTCCCTTGGTTTTGGAATTTTTTCAACAATCGTACCATTTATGATTTTATTTTATTTTAGCCATGTCCTTTGGGGGCCCGAGATTTTCGAGAGAAACAGTGTGCAGACTTTGACAATATGCCTTTCCGTGGAAAGTATTATAACTGGAAACCCTTTACTGGAGGTAATGTATAACCTGGCAGAGCATTCATCATGCTTGAGAGCTTTGCAAACATGAAAGCATATATAGACAATACACAGACACACACATTTCTACACATACTAGTAAAAATCAGCATTTGTAAATCAAAGCAGGAAAATACTTATAATACTATAAAGGTCTCGTGTTTTTGTTTCCCTGTAATGCACTTTATGTTAGTACAAATGATCAGAAATCATTTTTTTAACACCCAATTCTATTTACAAAGGATTTATGTAAAACTAAATAATATTTTTGAGTTCTTGTCTTCCTCAAGGTATGTGGACATTACATTATAATCATGGAGTGTTTAGAGCTATCACCCTGAAAACAAATTATAACAATATAAATCAACTCAAAGAGGAGGAAAATGTGTTCTTTCTTGAGAAAAGGATAAGGATCTTTCCATAGATTTTTAAAATTCTTTTTTAGTGTTGGGAAGCATTTTTGCTCTTTAATTTGGGCATGTATCAAACACCAGTTGTTCAGTAAGCACAAAAAGTTTGCTTACACTCCCAAAATACAAACTAAACTTTGTTAAAATTTTCTCTTGGAAAGATTGAATGCACATTCAAAATTTTTGCTTGTTTTAACATTTTTGAAAAAATTTCAACATAAAACAATATTGAAATAATTGTACAGTGATGTTTTTTATCCACCACCAAGATTTTACCATTTACATTTCATTTTATATTTTTCATTACATGTCTTAGTTATCTCTGTGCATTCATCAATCTATGTTATTTTTGTATGCATTTTAAAGTAAATTATAGTTAATATACTTTTCTGTGAGTAATTAAGCATGCATACATCAACTCCAGTTCAGTACTGTTTACTTTTTTTTTTTTGAAGTTAGATTATGTACAATGAAATGCATAAGTCTTAACTGTACTTTCCCTAAGTTTTAACAAATGCATATACTTGTAAAACTCTGTTAAGGTATAGAACATTACCATTACCTCCATAGTCCTTCTCAGTCCATAGCTGCCTCTACCTGTTTGTTCTAAGAGGCAACTTCTGTTATGATTTTTTTTTTCTTACCATAGATTAGTTTTGCCTATTCCAGAATTTGATATAAATGAAATTATGTCATATGTACTCTTTTGTGCAAGGCTCCTTTAAACCCAATATTTTTGAAATCTATTTGCATTATTGCATGTACAAGTAGTTTGTTCCTTTTTTATTGCTAAGCAGTATTATAATACGTTTGCTTTTCCATTCTGTTACTGATGGATACCTGGGGTGTTTCTAGTTTACAGTTGTTATGAATCAGCTGCTGTGATTATTTGCATACTCATCTTTTTATGGGCATATGTTTTCATTTCTCTTGAGTAAATGCTTAGGAGTAGGATTGCTGAGTAATAGGGTAGGTGTGAGTTTAATTTTAAAAGAAACTGCCAAGGTTATTGTATCATATCACAACTCCCATCAACAATGTAAGTTCTGTTTGTTCCATCTCCTTGCCAACATTTGGTGTTTTTAGTTTTCTTCTTATGGGTGTTTAATGATGTTTTACTATAGCTTTAGTTTGCATTTTTAAAAATAATTTTATTGATTTTGGAGAGAGATAGAAACATCAACGATAAGAGAGAATTATTGAACGGCTGTCTCTGCACACCCTCTTCTAGGGATTGAGCCCACAATCTGGGCATGTGCCATTGGCTGGTATTGAACCTGGGACCCTTCGGTCTGCAGGCAGATGCTCTATCCACTGAACCAAATCAGCTAGGGCTTTAATTTGCATTTCTGATTATTATTATATTGAGCACATTTTCATTGACCATTTATGTATCTTTTGTTAAGGGCTCACATTCTTTACCTATTTTCAAATTGATATTTTATCTTTTCACTAGAGGTTTGATGCACGAAATTCGTGCAATGGGCTCGGCGCTCGCAGCCCCGGCTTTATCCTAAAGGTCGTCCGGAAGGACATCCAGAAGGTCATTTGGCTGTCCAGTATAATTAGCATATTATGCTTTATTATTATAGATTCTTTAGTGGAAGCTGTTTATCAGATAAGTTTTACGAATATTTTCCCACAGCCTGTGGCTCTCCTGTTACTTTATAAATGGTATTTTAGATGAATATAGGATTTTAATTTTGATGAATTCTAATTTTTTTAATCTTTTTATTTTATGATTGTGTTCTGTGTCCTGTCTTAGAAATCTTGATCTACTTCAACTATAGATGTATTTTTTAATCTTTTATTCTAAAAGCCAGATTTTTTATTTTTACATTTAGATGGACAAACTAAAACAACTTAGGGATATGGTGTGTATTTATAGTATATTTATGGACTCTAATTTGTTTCATCAATCTATTTGTCAACCCCATGTTAGTACCACACTGACTTAATTATTTTAAGTGCCTCCCACTTTGATCTTTTTAAAAAGAGTTATTTGGATATTCTAAATGCTTTGCATTTCTATATAAATTACAAAATTTGTTTTTAATTGCTACAGAAAAACATGCTGGGCTTATGCTAGTTATCATGTTGAATCTGTAGAGCAATACAGGGAGAACTGATAAATTGAATTTTCCAATTTATGAACATACCATATATCTCTTTGTGTTTTTTTAAATATCTCTAGCTGTGTTTTGTAGTTTTAGGTATAAAATCTTGCACATCTTTTGTTAAACCTGTTTCTGAGTAATATATGTGTTTTGACACTATTTATAAGTGAAAGTTTTAAAATTTTCATTTTTAATTATTAACTCTAGTATATAAAAATACAATTAATTTTTATATATTAAATTTGTATTCTGTTATTTAGGATTTTCTTGCTAAATAGTCATGTTATTTGGATTAGAGATGATCTATTTCAATCTTTTTTGCCTTTTATTTTCTTGTCTTACTGCACTATCTTGGCCCTTCAGTACAATTTGTGCATGTGGCAATTATATGTGATTTTCTTCTTTATTCTATTAATATGATGAATTACTAGATAGGTTTTATAATGTCAAACCAACCTTTTATTCCCAGGTTATACCCTATGTGGTAATGATTTATTATTTTTATATGTTATTAGATTTAACAACTAATACTTTATTAAGTATATTTGTGTCTATGTTCACAAGGGAAACTGATTTCTAAATTTTATTTTTGTCATGTCTTTGACAAGTAAACTCTGGTTACTCTGGCTTCCTGAAATAGAATTCTTATTTATTTTGAAAGAGTTTATAACATTGGTATTATTTTTTCCTTGGAAAAAATAGTAAAAGCATGCATTTTTGATATTTTCTTTGTAAAAAAAATTATTACAAATTTAGCACCTTTAACAGTTAAAAGATTTATCCAGATTCTTAAATTCTTATGTAAGTTTTCAAATTTGTGTCTTTGATAAGTTTATGTTACATCCATGTAACATAGACTTATGTTTTGATAGGAAATTGACCATAACATTCTCTTATTATCCTGTTTAATATCTGTAGGATCTGGAGTGATGTATATATGCTCTTTCATTTCTGATATTTATAATATTTCTCTCTTTTACTTGATCAGTCTTACTTGAGGTTTATCAATTTTAATTATCTTTTCAGAGAGACAACTTGGCTGTAGCACTTTTCTGTTTTTATTTCCTTCATTTCAAAGTATTATCCTATTTACATTGTGATTTTTTCTTTGACCCATGGGTTATTTAGGTTATTTATAACTGTCATTTTTATTTCTTTTTGTATCCTGCTACTTTACCAAATTCATTTATCAGTTCTAGAGTTTTTTGGTGACATTTCAAAATATTTTATATATTCTAGATTTTTTGTTATTAATTTATAGTTTAATTCTAATATGCTTAGAGAATACTCTGTATGATTTAAAATCTTAAAATTAATTGGAATTTATTTTATGATATAGTTTATTCTCCATGTTGGTGAATGTTCTATGTATACTTGAAAAGTATGTGTTTTCTGCAGTTGTTGGATATAGTAGTGTTCTGTGAATATTCATGAGGTCAAGTTGGCTAGTGTTATGCAAATATTTTTTATTCTTTCTGTGTTTTTGTTTTTTTTTCTGCTCTTGCTCTTCTATTAATTACTGAGAGAAGTGTGTTAAAATATTGAACTATTATATGACTTCCTTTTTTATAAGTTTTTGTTTCATGTATTTTGAATCACTTTTATTAAGTTTATTTACATTTGGGATTGTTTTATCTTATTGTAGGAGGATTTAATAATTACCATCTAGGTAATTGAGTGGAATGAATTAACACTAAATTCATAATATGCTTTAAATGAAGGTAATTGGTAATGTGACCTTTTATTTAGAGAATCATCCAAAATTCCTTTTTGAAATAATAGCAGTACCTCTTCTGAAAACTCATTGTAATAGAGAAAGCCAAATACATCTTGAGCAGTAAAAAAGGAGGAAATTTATTTCTGTGAATACAACCATAGCAATTATATGTCTTGCCTGTCAAATACTATTTATATAATTAATATAGTGTTAAAATTGAGTAAATAAAAGGCAACTATTTTCTTTAAAAAGCCCATTACATAAAAAGCTACTTTAATTTTCAAAACATTACAATAATAAATGGGGGAAGAATAATAGTAGGTAGTAATGAAAACAATTCAAGTAATATAGAGCAATTTTATTCATGAGAATCTTACAAAAATAGATTATAAATACCTTGATTATCAGTTCAGAAAGAAATTATTTTATTGATTACTTATTATTTCTGTGCTCAGGATAGCAAAATATATCATTATCCTAAGCTTAATAAAACCTTATAAGTCATATAATAGTTTTATAGACTACAGATAAAGAAAATGGAAGAAAACATGAACTTGGGCCAGGGGTTGTAAACTGGTGGTTCAAGAACAATTTTTACTTACATATGTGTTCTAATCTTCACAGTATTTTTGAAAATGTTGAATGAGTTGCCAAGAACAGGTTATATTTTAAAAATCTAGGTTTTTAATCTTCTCTTGAAAAATTAGGGTGTTTGAAAATATTTTGGGCCATCTTCTTGCATGATAACTATCCTATATAATAAAACCCTAATATGCAAATTGCCTGAATGGCAGAACGACTGGTCACTATGATGTGCACCACCAGAGAGCAGATGCTTAGTGCAGGAGCTTCGCCCTGGTGGTCAGTGTGCTCCCACAGGGAGAGCGCCACTGAGCCAGAAGCTGGGCTCACGGCTGGTGAGCGCAGTGGTGGTGGGGTAGCCTCTCCCACCTCTGCCACAGGTGGGTGGTAAGGAGTGAGGGGTTCCCAGACTGCCAGAGGGTGCAAGCTGGACTGAGGGACACCTGCCCCCTAGTGCATGTGCACTGGGCCTCTAGTCAATTATAATAGTGATCTCCTTTAAAGGAATGTTCTTTTTCTCACTTATCATTGTGTTCACCAGCCAGTTGGCTTCTCTCTTTTACCCTACATACCTTCACTCTTCAGCAATCTGGTGTCTACCTTCACTGAGGCCTAGGCATGCTGGTTCAATCCTTCTGCCTTATTTTCTTTATAAGAAGTAGTCAAGCTTTATTTCAAAGAGAAATTTTACCAGAATAATTAGAATAAGACCAAAGAGTTTTAAACTTCAAAAAAAGGAAGATTCAACATAAATTATTCTGCTTATGTCATATTTTTAATCAATAGTTACATATTTGTAAGTCACTTTTTTATGCACTGTTTTGAGTGAAATATATCCATATTTATTGCTACTTTTTAATATATTATGAGGTTATGACATGTACTTTGCTTATTGTTTTAAATGGCTACTTTCATACCTATCTTTTATATCAACCTTAAAAAATACAAATTTCAATGACAAAATGAAAATGCTCAAGTTATTATATGTGTTCACAAAATAATATTAGACATTGTTTTAACTATTCAATTTTAATAATATAATTAATTTTATCCTTGATTTGCTAATCTGATAGCAATTTATCTCCACACTGAAGCATACTCACGGAACATGATATGTTTAAAACAGGTACAAATAGTTTTATTTTACAACTACCATGTCCTGCTAAAGTAAGGAGAGTTTTTAAATCAGCTTCTAGTTTTTGTCTAGAAATTGCATAAATTCCAATTCGTTATATAAGGTAAAAGTCTCAAGCCTCCTTAAACTATATTTCCTTGGTTCATTTTTTTAAAAGTTTTTATTTCATTTATTTGCTTCAACATGCAGGTCCCTCCACTGTGATCTCTTTTGACCCAAAATATATTGTAAATATATATTAGAAACACCTAAAATTTTTAAACTTGAAAACTACTTAGCAGGACCATCATTAAGTTGCACCGGCAATGAAAATTTAGCAAAAGAGGGAAGAAACCTACACATCCAAGGTTATAGCCAGGGAATGATGTGTATATGAATTGTAAATTTGCTATGGGTAATATTGGATCACCCATAGAAGATCCACTCCATTTATTTATTTATTTATTTTTTCACTGCAATTTTCCAGGTGGAGTGAAACCTTGCACATTACACTGCTTGGCTGAAGGCTACAACTTCTACACTGAACGTGCCCCCGCAGTGATTGATGGGACTCGGTGCAATACGGATTCACTGGATATCTGTATCAACGGAGAATGCAAGGTTGCTTAAATGATCACTAGAGGCCCAGTGCACGAAATTTGTGTACTGGGGGTGGGGTCCCTCAGCCTGGCCGGCATCCTCTCCAATCCAGGACCCCTCGGGGGATGTCCAACTGCTCTTCACAATCAGGGACCACTGGCTGCTAACCACTCACCTGCCTGCCTGTCTGATCACCCCTAATCCCTCTGTCTACCCTCCTGATCGACCCTAACCACCTCTGCTACCTGCTTGATTGCCCCTAACTGCTCCCCTACCGTCCTGATCACCCTTAACTGCTCCCCTGCTGGCCTGATCGCCCCTAACCGCCTCTCCTTACCCCACACCCAGGACCCAGGATTCCCTCCTCCAGACAAGCATCCAGGACCCAGGCTTCCCTCTGGCTGGCTGCAGGCACCCAGGTCCTGGGCTGGCTTCACCGGGGCCAGCCACAGCCACAGGGGACCTTGGTCTGGCGGCTTTGCTTGAGCCACAGCTGCAGGCTTGTCCCTCTCCTGGCTCACAGGTGCAATCATTTGTGCCCCGGATCGTGGGGTGTGTGGCTTGTCTCTCACCCAGGCCACAAGTGCAGCCCTGGTGCCTGGAACCACAGGGACCATGGGTCATGCAGATTGTTCCTCTCCCAGGCCACAGGCGCAGCCACTGGCACCTGGGACCAGGAGGACCATGGGGTGTGCAGATTGTCCCTCTCCTGAGCCACAGGTGCAGCCGTTGTTGCCCAGGACTGCGGGCAGGCGGCTTATCCCTCTCTCGGGCTGCAGCCTCAGCCGCTGGCACTCAGGACCATGGGGCATGCGGCTTATCCTTCTCCCAGACCACAGCCTGGCTGGTCCCCATTCTTCTCTCCCCAGTGTTGAGTGTCTGGACCATGAGGGTGTGATGACCATTTGCATATTAGTGCTTTATTGTATAGTATTTTTTTTTCTTGTTTTTGTTTTACCTTAAAGAGAAGGACAAAGCTAAGCCGCAGAAAGAAAGAAGATGCAAAAACATTATCTATTTTACTTAGTCTCATAATTTCTTGCAAAAGTCTCCTGGCTGCTGGCCTCCAAATGTATCTGATGATAGCCCAGTGTGTGTGTGTGTGTGTGTGTGTGTGTGTGTGTGTGTCTGTGTGTGTGTGTGTGTCTGTGTGTGTGTGTCTGTGTGTGTGTGTATGTGTGTGTGTGTGTATGTGCGTGTGTGTGTGTGTGTATGTTTACTTGAAGAAAAGGTTATTTCTGTGTCAATATTAAAATTCTTTTTAGATGATAAAGACCCGTGTACAGCTTACTGGTATATTCAGAGATTACATGCCTGGTATCAATGGCTAAATGCCAAATATACAAATTTAAATACCAAAATTTGTACCAAAAATATATAAGAATCCACATCTCTATGGTTCAATGAAAGACTGAAAGGTAAAGTTTATGGCAGTTTTATTTAGCTAGTGGGTACAGGTATTCATTTTTAAAATTTACCCATCATGAATTTCATAGCTGATCCTTGACTTTAACAATTGGATAATCCAAAAGGGCTGGTGATTGAGAAAGGGCAAATTGTCATGCCCAGAACTCTTGCTGTTATAACTTTGTATAGGACTAAAAGCCATTTTTCTTAGTTCTTACCTGTATTGATTTGGGGTATAAGTAAGAGTTCAATGCTAACACATGATGATGATATTTTAAGAATTGAAGCATGGTATCTATAAATAAATAAATCTAGGTTAGAAATATAGACATCTATTCCTGGGGAATCAGAATTATTTTTTCTTTAAAGTTATGTATTGAGAAATGTTAGCTAGGACTTAGTGGAGATGAAGGTAAAAGTGGAGAGGGGAAAATATTTCTCGTTTTGATTTGCTTTAATGGAAAAACAAGTAAATAAATAGGCTACATTTATTTGCTTAGTAGGAATTCTTTTTCACACACTGAATATTCTTGCTGTTTGCAGCATGTAGGTTGTGATAATATTTTGGAATCCAATGTTAAGGAAGATAAATGTCGAGTCTGTGGAGGGGATGGAAGCACCTGCGATGTCGTTGAAGGGTTATTCAATGAGACGTCACCCAGAGGAGGAGGTGAGTGTGTAGAGGGAACTCTTTCTCATGCATCTGTGTACTTGGAATAGGCACCGCATTTGATCACCACTACCACCCCTTATTTTAAAATTTCTTTAGGCAGACATTGCTTTCCCCCCAAATTACTTTCAGTCTTTTAAAGTATTAAATATGGCTTCAAGTGAGATTTTTATTTTTTTATTGTCTAAAATTTTATATATGTCTTCTTTGACCTCAATTGACTACCCTCCCCCTGCCCCCGCAGCCATTCCCACCCCAAGCATGTCCCACTGTCCCAGTGTCTGTGTCCATTGGTTATGCTAATATGCATGCAAAAAAATTCTTTGGTTGCTCTCTCACCCACTTCACCTCTCCTATCATTTGTCTCTGGATCTATTCTTGTTCAGCAAATTATGTTGATCATTATATCCCACATAAAGTGAGATCATGTGAAATTTACCTTTCTCTGATTGGCTTATTTCGGTTAGCAGAATGTTCTCCAGTTCTATCCATGCTGTTGCAAATGGTAAAAGCTCCTTTTTTACAGTGGCATAGTATTCCATTGTGTAGATGTATAATAGTTTTTTAATCCACTCATCTGCTGATGGGCAGTTAGTCTGTTTCCAAATCTTAGCTATTGTAAATTGTGCCACTATTAACATAGGGGTGCATATATCCTTTCTGCTTGGTGTTTCTGGTTTCTTGGGATAAATTCCTAGGAGTGGGATTACTGGGTCAAATGGGAGTTCCATTTTTAACTTTTTAGAAAACTCCATACAGTCTTCCATAGTGGCTGAACCAGACTGCATTTTCTCCACCAATGCAGGTGTGTTCTTATGTAAGATATTTTAAGTAAATATTATTTCCTTTCGATTTGACTTCATTTTGCCATGTTTTCTTAAAATATGAATTTCCATAGTAGATTGATGTGTGGGCCACAGTTGAGAAAATAAAATGAACCAATATTGTACATGTTGAGGCTTTATTGTACATGTTGAGGCTGAGGTATTTTAGAGGAAAAGAAGAATACTCTAGAGGTATTCATTTACCAAAAGGGGAATTTTCCCATATTTCATCCTTTGTATAGTGGAAAGTTGACAAAAGCATGGTAGAATAAGGAAACTCGTTACTGAATGGTTATTAAACACTCATTTTCCGACTGAGGCTGCAGAATCTACTTACACTGGCTGTCTTCTGTGGTCCAGGCTACCTGACAGTTGTGCAGATACCAAGAGGTTCTGTTAACATTGAAATCAGAGAAGTTGCCGTGTCACCTACCTATATTGGTGAGTAGTATATTTTGGTAGATTTCAAAAATTAAGAAGGTACAGCACAATATCCTGAAGGAAAAGACATAGTGCTTTGCCAACTAGAGACAGACTCAGAGAGCAGGCAGACAGCTATGGAGTTTGTGGTTGGGGTGGGGCAGGGCGGGGGCGGTGTGTAGAGGGATTGAGAAGGAAAAATAGAGAACTCATGGACATGAACAACAGTGTGGTGGTTGAGGGTGGGAATAGTGGGTGAAAGGAGATGGAAGAGGGCATAAAGGGATAAATGGTGATGGAAAAAGAAAAACAGACATATGGCTTTGAGGTGGAATACTTTTATGCTAAAATGAAATTCCAAGTCTTATAGGACCACATGTAAGAAAACTAAACATAAAAATTAGTAGTTTATAGCTTACTCTTCACTAAGTTGCTTATTTGATTTTAAAAATCAATGTTATTGGGGAATAACATATATAATAAGTACATCCTATCTAATAAAAGAGTAATATGCAAATGACCATCACTCCAACACATAAGATGGCCACCCCACATAGTCAAATATGGCCGCCCCTATTTGGACACAAGATAGCCACTAGAAGATGGCTGGCAGTGGAGCATAGTTGTGGGAGATAAGGCCATCAGGAGAGGGCAGTTAGGGGTGACTGGGGCAGCAGGGGAGGGGAGTTAGGGGTGACCTGGCCAGCAGGAGAGCGAAGTTGGTGGGGGACCAGGTCTGTAGGGGAGGGCAGTCGGGGGCGACTAGGCCTCCATGGGAGGATAGTTAGGGATGACCAGGCTGGCAGGGGAGGGCAGTTAGGGGCAATCCATCCAACAGAGGAGCAGTTAGGCATCAATCAGGCTGGCAGGGCATGGTTAGGGGCAATCAGGCAGGCAGTTAGGCAAGCAGTTGGGAGTCAGTAGTCCTGGATTGTGAGAGGAATGTCTTACTGCCCATTTAGGCCAGATCTCAGCCTAAATGGGCAGTTGGACATCCCTTGAGAGGTCCCAGATTGGAGAGGGTGTAGGCTGGGCTGAGGGACACACACACACACACACACACACACACACACACAGTGCACAAATTTTGTGCACCAACCTCTAGTCCATTAAAAGTATACAGTTCAAAGAGTACTGACAATTATTTGTGTGTATATATAACACAGCCAAAATGTAGATCATTTCTGACTCTAAAACATTTTCTTATTTGCTTTTGCAGTTAAATCCCCTAGCCTTAGCCTCAAGCAAACATTGATCTTTTATCTGACTTATGTATTTCACTAGTCACCAGTTGCAGGAAGATTCATACAATAGGGCTTCCTGTGGAGGTCTCCATTGCCCTGCCTGCTACCCTCCCTTCTCCCCCACCCCACCTGCTTCCCTCCCTTCTCCGCAGCCCTGTCTGTTTCCCTGCTGCCCCACTTGCTTGCTTCTCCGCAGCTTTGCTCCCTTCTGCAGTGCTTGGCTTCCTTCTATGCTGTCTTCAGTCTTCACTCTCAGCCTGGATATGCAAATCAATGGCCATCTTTGTTGGGTTAATTTGCATATTCACTCCTGATTGGCTTGTGGGCATAGCGGAGGTATGGTCAATTTGCATGCTTCTCTTTTATTAGATAGGATTATATTTGTCTGGAATTTAACATAATGGGATAATACATTATATACTTATATATGGCTTTTTTTTAAACTCAGCATAATGTTTTTGAGAGTCATCTATATTGTTGAATGTATTTGAAGTTCACTCTTTTTTATTGCTAAATAATATCCCAATGTATGGATATATCATAATATTTTTATTTACTCACTTGCTATGAATATTTGGGTCATTGTTAGTCTTTGACCATTATGAATCAAGTTTCTTCGAACATTTATAGACAAGCTTTGTGTGGACATATATTTTCATTTCTTGTAGATAAAAGCCTAGGTGAAATGATAAGGTTATATAAGTACATGTTTATTTTAACTTTATAAGAAATTACTAAACTGTTTTCTAACATGGTTGTATTATTTATATTCTCACCAATACTTTAGGTGAGTTCCACATACTCCCATCCTTTTCAAAATTGTCAGTCTTCTTAACTTTATCTATATAGATATCATTTTTGTGTTTAAAGTGTCTAAAAAATTATTTTTCCTATTTAAAATTTTTTATTAAATCATGAGTTCTTTATGTATTCTATAGAAGTCTTTGTTAAAATACATGTTTTATGAATACTTTCTCCTGGTCACTGGCTTATCTATTTTCTATCCTTACTGGTGTCTTTTAATTTGCATGAACTCTAAGTTATTAAGTTTTTTATTGTTTGGGCTTTCATGTCCTTATAAATTTTGCCTACCTCAAGGTTGCATATATTATCTTCAATATTTCCTTAAGAAATTATAGTTTTAGCTTTTACATTTAGGAATATGGTCTATTTTGAGTTTTTATATAAGGTATAAAGTTAGGGTTGAGGTTAAATTTTTTTCATATGGATATTTAATTACTATAACACCATTTGTTGAAAAAGATTATTATTTCTTAAGTCAAAAGATCAAATTCTACTTGTTTCCCTTCTTGCACATATCACTGTCCTGCCCTGTCCAGGCCAATGTCTAAGAACAGCTAATTCATGTTTTGTGAGTTTTCTAGTTGTTTACATTGATGGGCAAATCTAGTACCAGTTATTTCAACAGGGAAAGAAGTGGATATTCTATTTAGTTGATGTTTGATCTTTAAAACAGATTTAGGTTCTCCAAGACCCCTAGTGAGGCCTGGATGAGTTCTTATGTCCTTTAACATATCATTGCCTTTTCAATAAGTCTTTAAAAAATAAGATGACATTTAGAATACATCTTTGGGTAGAACATCAGTATAATCAGGCTCTTCATTTATTCTAGAAGAGCCCTTTATTTTTTCATCATAATTTTGGAATCAGCAAGACTCAAAACAAAAATAAGATTTGTAACATTAAATTTTTCCCTTTGATGATTCTCTATCCATAATGCCACATCCATTGAAATATATATTAATTAGTACTTCTTTTTATGGCTAAATAATATTTCCTTGTATTATAAATACCACAATTTGTTTATTCTTTTATCCATTGGTGGGCAATGAGTTGTTTCTACTTTTGGTTATTGGGAATAGAGCTACTATAAACATGTTTGTACAAATATTTGTTTGAGTACCTATTTTCATTACTTTTGGATATGCATCTAAGAGTGGAATTGTGGTATTTCTAACAAACAAAATATAAATTCATCATCATAATGCTGAATTTATTATTTGCCAAATGGCTAGTCTTTTGTCTTGGTTTCATATCTTATCTTTTTTTAAAACTAATTTAAGAAGCTTTTTTTGCCATCTATTTTAAGATGCTTCATTTTTTAAAATTATTATTATTGATTGTTATTTCTTAACTATCTGTTTGGTTGTGTTGTTGTCTGTCTGGGTGCCAGTCCATAGTTTCTCCCTAACCCATAAATTCATATAATTACTCTTTAATATTTTGACAGGAAAGTCTGCTTCCTCCTTATCTCCCATTTCTGGTTATTTCTGTTGTCATACTTTTCCTTGTTAGTTCCATATGTTTATTTCTCCAGGTAACATTTTATTCCTTTCTATCAATGACATCATAAATACTTAATAGCTTATTGGCATTCACATGGAAAATTGCCATTTTAATTTTTACTTTACAAAATAGACAAGAATGGCATCTCTAAATGGAAATGAATATTCATTGAATACTTGTTATTTACCAGTGACACTGTGGTAAATGAAGTTTCATGTTTTTAGGTGTACTGTGATTCTTTTTTTTTTGTTTGTTTGTTTTTTTGTTTTTGTTTTTTTTTTAGCTTTAAAATCCGAAACAGATGAACACTATCTTAATTGTGGCTGGACTATTGACTGGCCTAAGAAGTTTGATGCTGCTGGTACAACTTTTGACTACAAGAGACCAACAGATGAACCAGAATCCTTGGTAGCTCCAGGTCCCACCTCGACAAATCTCATTGTCATGGTAAATGTGACTTTGCCTCTTTGTTTTCCCTGCTTTATAGTTAAATTAGGTAAATAAAGGTGAAATGCTTTACCCAAATGTTTAAAATCTTTGTAAAGTTAAAGCCAGAGTGCTCTTCCATATGAATGACCATTTCATTGCTTGGTTGAATAAAATGTTTATAACCAAACAAGGTAGATGAAAGACATGTCTCTAAATTACCTATGAATATGGAAGGAGAAAATTCAATATAAGTGCATAAGGCTTACTTTATGGCATTATCTTCTTCAAAAGAAATAATAAGTATCTGAATGAAGGCTCATTGTATTTTAATTATCTTCAATGGCAGATTCTGTTTCAAGAAAAGTATGAGGGAATTACATATAAGTTCAATGTTCCTATCCCTCGGACTGGCAGTGGAGACAGTGATATTGGCTTTGCCTGGAATCATCAGCCTTGGTCAGAATGCTCCGCTACTTGTGCTGGAGGTAAGACACCCACTAGGCAGCCCACCCAGAGGGCAGCATGGAAAGCAAAACATGTTGTGAGCTATGCTTTTGTGTTTGCTAAAGAAGCTAATTGGAAACATTTCTTGCAGGTTTGCTTCAAGCTGTAATTTAGCAAAAGAAACTTTGCTTTAATTATATTATATTCCATTTGTTTTTAACCTCATGTAATTTGTACAGATTTGTTGGTAAAATACATCTTGGCACAATGAGTGTCTCTGCTGATGCTTCTCCCAAGACTAACTTGAAGGTGGGCTGTTTGCTTTTCGTGAACACATTCTTGGTAAAGAACATCAAGAGTTTTAAATAAGAAAATGGGCAAGAATCAGGCGGCACAGATACAGCTTCTTGTAATGGGGCATGAGGATGTATGTCCGTGTGCTTGTGTGTTTGTGTGCTTGTGTGTTTCCCATTATCGTACTCAATCTCCCTTCTCCTGCCTTCCAAGTTAAGGGGCTTTTTACCAGGATACTACAATCATTACTGGTGTCTAGGTCTCTGGGTTAATGGTGTGTGCCGACCCCCAGCATAGTCCCTCAGAGAGGTAGCTCCTAGGCGGTGGTTGGTGATGTGTTGGTTGTCCCATGTGCTTTTATCATGGGTGCCTTTTCCCCACAATTTACTCTATTCCTAATCCTCCTCCCTCTAGTGGCCACCAATGCAATTCTTTACCTCTGGCTGGGAGAGCAGGACAGTTGGCTTCCTTCAAAGCCAACACCTTTGCTGCTGCATGGACTGGTGAGTAGAAGTGCTGTGCAAGCAGCATCTTCATTCTCTCTGGAGACTAAATGCATCGCCTCCACCGTACACCTTGATTGCAATAGGCAGAGAAACAATCCTATCCTTCAGGCTTACACTAGAGTAAAGTGCCTCACCATTCTGAAAGCAAAGACTAAATTTTGGTTATATTTAGAATGGGAGAGATTGAAATAAGATGAATGATCCCATTTTACCCCATATTCCAATGTATTACCAATTTTTCCTTTCATAACTTCTTGGAAACCTATCACTTAACGTGAACTTTGTCCAATCTTGTCCTGCACTCAGTGAATCTCTGATACCTCTGATTTTCAAGGATTGAATCAGAGAAATTATTTTCACAGAAATTATTTTCAAATAATAAATTTAGTATTTCTGGACTCATACAGAAGTTAATCATTAACTACAAACCCAAAATTTAGTAGTAAGCACTGTCTAAAGTAAAAAAAAAAAAAAAAAGTTTCCTTCTGTGTGAGGTATCATGAAACATGGTATGTATAATTTATGGCATATTTTAAAAGATTTCTAATTCCCATCCATTTTGTTGTGAAATGGTTGGTGATTTTTAATGTAAAGATATAAAAAGTATAGGACATTACTTTTTCTTTTAATAAAAGAAAGGATATTTAAAATGAATTATTCAATTGAGTTCCATTGTATTATTTATTCATTAGTGGCATTTATACATATAGATTTCTTTCAACTAAATTACTTTTTTATTCAATCGATACTTTCCCCTTAATAGTAAATACATAACTCAGGTCCTAGGTAAGGTGAGATAACTTACTTAAGAATAATTAAAATCATTTAAAGTTTAGGAAATTTAATGAGGAAAGTTTAAGTGTTGAGATAGATTAACTTAGAGAAGAGAAGGCTGAGGGAAAGTGTATCTTCAAGTATGTGACAAAAAGTTGAATGGCAAATTCTTAGTACCTATTCATCTTTGTACTAAAAATTGCTATATTTGGGGATGCTTTAGACATAGTTTTGTTGGAGGCCAAGGAAGGATTAAATGAATTCTCAATGTTCCTTCTAACCCTATGATTCTTTTGTTCAAAAAGGGGATAGTCCAACAACAACAACAACAAAAACCAAAAACAAAAAAACAAAAAAAGAGAGAGGAAAAAAAAATAAGTCATGAAGAATGAATTTAAAAGAAAAGCCTTGAATTTCTTAAAGAAATATGAAAAATCTAAATGAATGTTATTCTTTCCCATAGCACTTGTATTGAGAAATCATATTAGAAAAGTAACTTCTTGTGATAAGGGATAAATCAAAAGAAAAGGAAGTCGAAAAGTCCCTGGAAAGAGAATTTTCTTTATTATTTATACTTCTCTTTTCTCTCTGAAGTTACTAATTGGAGATATTTGAGGTGGTTTTGCCGATTGGAATTTTGCTCAGTTTTAAGTGATGGTGTCAGCATTCATGGGGTCATTGCCTTCTTTGGAAGAGAGATGTACAGTGCTTGAAAGTTGGCAGGCTTAGTGTGAAGAGCTTCCATTTGTCTTGGTAAGTGGATCTCAAAGTGTGGTCCCTAGACCAGCAGCATCAACATCACTTGAGAATTTATTAGAAATGCTAATTTGGGGATCCTATCTCAAACCCACTGAATAGAAACTGTCTGGATGGAGCACAGCAATCTATGTTTTAGCAAACCTTCCAGGTGCTTCTGATGCTTGGTCAAGTTTGAGAATCACTGGTCTTGGTTGACAGAGAAATTTAAAACCTAGCACTCTAGACACATAAAATCCACATGCTCATCACTGAAGTCTGTGCATCTCTCTAGACTCTTTTGCACCTACAACAATGTCTGGCACATATTACTCAATAAGTATTTGTAGATGAGTGAAAGAACAAAAGGAATTATTTTGGCAATTATAGATTTGTGTGGAAAACGAGAGCTTAGAATTGCTGTTTTTCTCATGAGGTGAGGCTAAAGGATTGCCACAGAGCACAATATAATTTTGATTAGCATAGATAAGTAAAACCAAGCTCTTCTCTTTTGTTTTCTTTATTCTGAATAGGTGGGAAATATTTCCTTGGATATAGAATACTGATATCAATTATTGGAGTCATTATCTTTCCACATACCCTCACTTTAAACCCCCAAGTTTCTTAAATACAGGAAGCATATGGTTGAGAAAATCTTATGAGACTTGGAAATCTTGATCAAAGAGGGAACCAGTTATCTGCTTGGTAGTAGTAAACGGAACTTCATCTATTGTTAAGGAATCTTCCAGGAAAAAGTTAGTTCTACCTAGTCTTTACTAAGTAACTAAAGATGAATGCTAAAGTTAGTTCTCAATTGGCATACTTCACTCTCGTCTTTCCAGGGTGGTGTTAGGTATCTTGCTGTCAATTTTTTTTTTTTTAATGGAAAAAGTGAAAACAAGATCTGAAAGAACTTTCTATTGCAATCTTATAAGACTCCTCAATGTTTTTACCTATTGCTGACCTGCATGTTTTTTAGCGGCAAGACCTTTGGACTTTGTGTTTGAGAGCAATATTGATAGTTTTTTCTTGTGAGATTTTTTAAGATAAGAAGTTTTGAGACTATTTTTCTGTTGCTTAGCAGACCCAATGACAAATATAATGCTTCAGGAAACATTGCTGGTGACTAAGTTCAAGTAATGGTCTTTTCTCTTAGTCAGTGATGAAACACTTCCTTAGCCTGCATAAAAACATTGACATGACACTGGGTATTGTCTTAAGGATAAATGTGATTTTTAAGATACAGTTATAATTCTTCCTCTGAGTGAAATCCAAGCCCATGAATTATAACTTGGCTATTTTCTGAACCACTGTTACTTCAAATAGAGTTTTTGGTTTTTTATTTCTTATCCAAACTACTGAATGCCCTGTAGTTTATCTGACTCTCAAATTTATATACCTCCATTGTATTCATGATTAATGTGTCATTTGATAAAGGTTAGCTGGACAGTAAGAATTGTATTATTTTAAAATACAAAGATTTATGAGTGGTTTTTTTTGTTTTGTTTTTTTATCTATTAGTAATTTATGCCAGTATGCCTTTGCACTCTGACTTCTAAAGGTTCAAATAACAAATACTGTACATTCATCCTTTGATTTTAGTCATACATATTCTACTTTTACTAATGTTTGGCTAGATATAGGGTTCTCAGATTTTAGTGTGCATCAATATTACCTAAGGTTTGTTCAAACAAGATTGTTAGGTTCTGCCTCCAGGTTCTGATTTGGTGGGTCTGGCATAGATTCCAAGAATTTGCATTTCTGACAAGTTTCCAGTGATGCTGCTGCTACTGGTTCAGGAACCAGGCTTTGAGAATTATTGGGTTAGACACATAGGTTTCATAAAGCCAGTGTTTATTAACACAAAACAATAAATCTTTTAGGTAATTATCCATATTATAGTTGTAATCCTCATTACAACTAGTCTTTTTAATGATAAATGGTTCTACAATTGATCTCGGTAATAATAAATACAATTTTATAGTTTGAAATACATTTTCTGGTAACCTGTTTCATTTGATCATTCTTGGCAGCACCATGAGGTAGACATTGATATGATTATTTCTATTTTGTAGGTAAAATTCAAGTGCAGTAACTTGCTGAAATAAGGACTTAGAACTTGAGTCTTTAGTGATTTTAAAAATGTAGCATTTTCTTTCATAATAAAAATGGTCTTTACCTTGAACAGAGCTTTTTCACTAGTTGGCATCCTTAAGAGAGCCACATGATATATCCCCATTTAAAAATAGCTTCTTCACTAAGCTTGAAATTTCATTGCTTCAAATGCTTTTCCCAAAGCAATGGATCACAACTGTAGCTGCACATTGGAATTACTGGAGAAGTTTAAACAATTCTGTGTTTGGGCATTGCCCTAAAAGATTCTGATTTAATTCCTTAGGAGTGTGGCATGGGCATCAGATTTTTAAAAGCTCCCTATGGAATCCTAATGCACAGTTAAGGTTGAGTAGTACTGCCTTTGAGGTTGATTGAAAGTTTATTTATTTTTCAAAGGATTTACATTCAGATTCAGATACCTCTGGAACCATTACTAACTCACATCTCTGTTATTAATTGGCTACTAGTTGACTATACTGATTAATGAGGTTTGGGTATAAGTATTTGGAATGAGAAAGTATAGAGGATCATCAGAGAAGGGAATGAAAAAGGTGGCAGGATGCCAATTAATTTCATAATTTGCTTGTGTGGGCATGGGCCTTGGACATGCATTTGAAAAGATTTTTTATAGTTCAGCTTATTTGCATGCCTTATTTTACCGGATGGGTCACTTATAAGCCTCTAGTTAGTGCTTTTAAAATGCACTAAAATTGTGCTAAATATCACTTCTTGGCCTTTTGGCTAATGTCAAGTGAAACTGTGCTAAACAGATTTTGAAAGCTTGTTCTTCTAATTATAAGTTTTGTGGTACTTATAGAGCTAAAATGCATAAGTGGACATATATTCAACTTTAATTTAGATCCATAAGTTAGAATATAAGATGCAAAAGATTCTTGTTTTAACTCAATATTTATGAAAACTAATAAGAAACTTATTTTCTCTTTGTGACTTACAGTTCTAATCAGAAAAATTCTTCTATTGTTTTAGGACATTTTTGTTTTGTTTGTTTTGGTTTTTTGATAGAGGATGAATCTTTGTAAAATGCAGCAGTATTAATCATAATTTTCTATCTTTCTGAATGTACTATCACATCACACTATTCAAATTATTCCCTTATAACCATACTACCTCTTTAACACTTTCTCTTATTTAATATAGCCTTTAGGCTTAAAGCAAAACCTTCCCAAATCAACAAACTAATAGTTGATGCTGTAATTGTTGCATTTAACTTTATACTTATTCTGCCACTAAACAAATCTAAGTTTACTTTCTTTGTGGTGCAAAGAAAGAACAGAAATACATATTCATTTTGTATGTAGTAGTTTTAAATTTATACTCAAAATATATACAATCTTTGTCCTGCGATTCACTTT